AAAAAATATATAAACTACATTCCTGAATATAAAATGTGATACGAACATCTCAGATTTGTTTGCCGCAGTGGGTTTCCTTTTTAATTCGAAGGAAGAACTTAACACGTGTTCTACTCATGCGCCTGCCCTTATTCCCTATAGAAAACAGGTTACCGAGGTAGCTTAAGTTGGTACAATGCAACTCAAACCTAATTTAGCTAAAACTTAACTCCTGCATAAGGTTTTGCAACTATATGAGCGTTACATAGGCCGATACGAATATCTAGGTAAACAAAATCTCAAAGGGGCTTTTCTACAATAGCAGTTGTGCTTAAGTGTGCCTGAGAGGCCACCCAGCAGCCATACTTGTGCAGTAAGATAGTTTAGGTGTCACCAATAGTCTTGGTGAACTATTTATTAGTCCTAAACAAATAGGTGTATCTGCGGGATATAATTGTAAAGTAAATAGGCCGGCTAAACGTACGCCACTTAAATCTCTCCATATTGTATGCAAAAAAAAATAACTTGAACCGTCATGGTGTCCTTTTCTCTGATTATAGTCTCTTGTATAGGGAAAAATGCAGAATAGGAGACAGGTTATTAACAATATGTTTAGCTATAGACCTAGGTTTCAGAGTCAAGTAACATTAAGCTCTAGTCTAGACCACTAGGTCGTAGTAAGACTATCTAGCAAACTGGGCAGAGCTGTGAAAGTTAAAATTAATATCTCTGCATATATCTTTTGATGATTAACGGTAGATTTCCATTCGAGCAATGGGCATTCATTGCGTCCTATGAAACGAAGATAAAGCCTGGAGACGTTAAACGTAAATCTGTCCTAGAAATGTATAGAAGTCTATCACAGCTGCCGTAAGCCATAGTTGAAATAATTAGGTGTTTTCTAATATAGCTTCGGCTGGCACACAGGCTATTACCAAATGTTAATTATCCTTTTAATAAAATATTCCACTTGATCCATCTTATCAAAATGACAGTTTAGCGAAAGTTTAATCTTCTTCTAGCGTAGCAAGCATCTCTATACTGCGCGCAACTTCATGGTTCTTTGATGTTAGCGATATTTTTGAATCCTTGTGTAGGACCATTTGCGCAGCGGTTTGACCTGGATGGCTTGATAAATTATGGTTAATAAGAAATCCGAATAACTACAAATTGTTTTTAGTAAACACAATTCAAAAATTTTTCGACTGGCTCATTATACGAGGAGTAGGCTTCTTCAAAACATCAATATTCACCGTCGCCTCTGCGCTATCCTACGTTACCGTGAATACTACCCTACTAAAGACAATAACGCTACTATAAGTAACGCCGCGTATACGACGACGCTCTAAGACACGTCGAGGCAGCTGCAGCAATGGCGTTTGGCGGTCAAATATGACTGGATCACGACAGGGCAGACATAGCGTAACGCCAATTATAGAAAACGGCGCACCGATAGTCGCAAGGCTATATATATGTTTGTTTGTGTGGAAGTAGCCCAACAGTATTTCCCTGTAAATGCGAAGTACAAGCGGCCAGTTAGCGCGTGGGTCCATCACTACAAATAAAAGCTATTTTAACATTGTACAGCTGGTTTTGACAGTTTAACTGCTATTAGACCGAATTGATGGGACCGATCCGCCTGTTTACTCTCGAATAAAGGCAGCAGTAGCACATCTGCTGACGCGGCCGGACGTGGCCTGCCATTTCTTCTCATCTGATTTTCCTCTTTCGATGCGTTTCTGTCTCTCTTGTCATAAATTATTTAGGGTACTTCGTATGTATGGCTGATGCCAATTAGCGGACTTTATCAAATTGAGAGGAGCAATCTCTCTCCATTTTTCCTGCTTGCTGCTACGCAATCTGTCCAGTGCGAAGAACGTGACCGGCCCCGCACGCCGCATGTTTTTTAGTTGTCACGGGAGCAAGTAGGGTTATAGTGGTTGGAGGACGGTGTGGCCGAACAAACGGAGAGCCCAGACTGATGATGATGGTTGGCCTGTCACCACAACTTTGACGTACTTGCTAGTTCTACTACTGTGTCTGCCGCAATTGCTTGCTCTAACTAGCGATACGATGACTTTAACGTTAGCTCACCTCTAGCGTTTCAAGCTCGAGCTCTTCGGATTTCAGCGGCGACCATGGAAACGAACGGCAAAACACGAAACTACGAATGTGGTCGTCAATATCGTTTTTAGCCAATGAACAAGCGAATAAATACATAGACACGCACATGGATACACAAATACGCGCACATATTGGACATACACAGACAGATACCTGACAGACTAGAGCGGCGTGCAGACAAGATGGGGACGCTAAACTTCAGACTTTAGCTATTTTTCTATAGATGAACGGGAGAGTAAGAAGGCACGAGACACGAATAAGACAGTTACTCGATTACTATCGGAAAAACACCGTTTCTGTTACAAGAGACCCATACATAGTATGTTCAGAAACATAACAAAATGGACGGCCGCAAGGGAGTCCCTTCGATGTTTCACACATTAAGTAGCCACAAAGTGTCGGACCTTAGAAAGGTGGAAAAAGAAGCACAGAAGAAAAGTACTGTCGCTCGCAAATATGACTAGGCATAGGGACGCATACTCGTGCGTGCTAAATGAATGAAATGTAAGTACGTTTCAAACGCAGATAAACACGATAGAGCGCCAAAAACGGGTAGTACATGAGATAAATTTCCCCAAAAAAGAAATACTAGAATCAAGTACTAGAATCCAATCGTAAACACTGCTTGTACCCACATGTATCTAATGACCATGTATGTAACTCTAACTGCAATTTTTTTTATAGGATTTAAAGGTTAGCATCTGAAAACTTCTCGGTGTGATCGTACGTGTTACTTTAAGCAGGTGAACGTACTTAGTAGTCATTTTTAGTCGCAATTAGTAGTACGTTTAACATAAAACTAAACTATTTTTTCACACGATTCTTATGTGCTTTATAGTTACCAACTTTTGATTTAAAAATAATATATCTTAACATAAAGGTACGTACATAAACATACATACTTTTAGGTCGTGCAAGTATACGCTCAAAGCATCGAAGAATATGATTCACATCTTGTTATTCCCTTGTCCTGAGGTTGTGTGCCATTTTGCTACTAACATCCTGAAGAAGGATTTTGGTCATTTCTTAGAAATACCGAGCACACAGCATAGGGCCTCCGTAAATAAGGCGAAAACAAACAACGACCAGCATGCAACGAGGCCAGTGATCAAACGCATTCGGCCCAGCAACGATGGGTGGCCGTACCAATTCGGTCAGCAGATGATGCCCGAAAGGGATGAAAACATGTGATCTCTAGCGATAGGCTTTTGCTTCATTTCCTGCCACCCTTTCATCACATCGATTCGTTTATGCTGCCGCCACAATTGAGACTGCAGCAAAACAATGACAAGTAGCAGTTGTAGCAGCGACAGCGTGAACAGCAGCGGCTATATTGCAGTAACGAGTGCATTTTACTCGCCCAGAACTGACGATCCCAAAGCCAAACGAAGTATTGGATTTCTAGCTGCAATGCAACAATATATTCCCAGTTGTAAATATCGATAACGGCTACCATTGGTGAGAGCCTTCGGATGTCGGATACGTAGTAGCTCTGCTGCACGTAGGGTGAATTGAATTATAGCTTCTGCGCTGCGATACATCAACAGCAACAACAGTACCACTAGCAGCGGCAGCAACAACAACAACAACAACAACAAACTTTAGCATCCGCACTTAACCCGGAGTTTGCTAGCCGTGTTATGTAGCATGTTTCAGCGCTTTTGTACGTATCTGTTTTTCACAGCCTGTTTCAAACCAGTAGCGTGCGTTGCATTTAGATTAAGAAAGAGCTAGCTGTTGTCAATATAGCCAAGTGTATGTGACAGGGCTACCATCCATGTAGTAGAAATAAACGAATATTGGAAGGGATAGTAAAGTGAGGCTGTATACAACAGCTGTCGATTGTAATGCTGAAGCTAGTTACGTCCACAATGGCATGTGAATGAACAAGGATGAAACCTAGTACCTACCGAGCGAAGAGGAAACATGCGGAATAGGACAACGCTACATTTCTTGAGGCATCGAGTGCGAGGCATTAAGACGGTCGCTGTGACTCCGGAAGTAACTGTAGCCGACAATCGTCTTAGTCGTCATTAAAGACGGCTGAGATGGACGCGACTGATAGACGACCGACAATGCAGTAACTGCTCCTCAATGCCACATTCGTCTCACGTTTTACGAGACAGCAACGACTGAGTGACTACGAGTAGCGGCTTCCCCATGCGGGAATGCCTCTTAACGGGGAGAAACGCGGGGCGACGGGGGGCTGGGAAGAAAGGAGACAGGCGAGGGGCAAGGATTGACGTGGGGAAATCAAGCAACCAGAGTAAAGAAGAACGCACGGGAATAAAGCGCCAAAGCATAACGTTGCTACGATGGGGAACAGGAATGAATGGAACAAGTTCTTCGCACCGGATAGGCCGGCGTTTTAGCCGATGCTATCACCACCATCAGTGGCAACATTCCAGCAAAGCACTGCGTAGATCTAAATAGAACATGAAGGACAAGCATACACGTATCGTACGAGTGCAGCTTCCTGTTGTCTTCGCATAGTTAATAATGAGCCTTTTTGCATCCTCAATATCGTAACTTCGCGCATATCACTTCTCCGCTCTCTGTTGTTGTAAACTACACAGGGGCTAATCAGCCCACGCAAATCAAAAACGTGCATAAATTTAATTTCTATTATTGTTCGAACCTTAGGATACGTTCATAATCCTGTAGTATCGTTCGTGCACGACGTTAGGTTTATAGGAGCTTGTACCCGAAATGGGCGAAAGATTGTTTGCGCCCTACAGAAATCTGTGATTAACGTCACCTGTCGTTTTATACACACGTACTGAATGGAAGTTTGTCGTAGCAGTTTCGTATCTGTAGTAGCAAACAAAAGCGCCGATACTTTTATGGTAAACCTGCCACTAAATAGCTTATGATTATATTTATGTTTTGGTTTGCAGAATGTCCGAATGCCGAGGATGGCATGGAGCGATTCGCTTGTCCAACCCCAGATCCACTGGGTCGCTATCGATGCATCGATGATCATGTACTTTGCGATGGATTTTTGGATTGCCCCGATGGATCTGATGAAGACAGACACTCTTGCATGTTCTACAAGACGGTATGAGCCGGAATTTCTTAAATATCGCTAAAAGTTGCTAATGTCATTCAAATTCAATGGAAATCTGGCTTGTTGTAAAATTCAGAGTTATGCCACTTACCTACTGCTGTTGCTTGTTTTACCCTAAAAATTCGTTCGTGAGCTTATAGCGACCAGAGTGGCGCCTATTCAAATTGTCCGCGACAGTTGATTTTTTGCTCATCTCCAAAATTCACTTTTGTATGTCTTTATATATATATATACAGACATATATTTCGTGTTACGAGCAGTTGTAAATATCAGACAGGTATCGCCCGAGGGGACAGAACGTTTTAGTTTGCCGCCTGGTTGGTCGAAAATTACCTTGGAGTGAAGTGCCACAAGCAGCGTTCCTTTGTATTTCTTAGAATTCTGGAAGTATGGCAAGGCTCTTTGTAACGATAAGCCACAAAAAGAGAATGCTAAAAACCATTATTCCATAAAATAGATACTTATATGAAGCGCTTTATATGAAAAAAAAAATATATATATATATATATATATATATATATATATATAAAGTATACTGAGGAGAAACGAGTATTCCTGCTGAATTACGCATAAGATAAACGGTTAGCCGGCCGATTCCTGCAGTCATAAACTATTCAATCTTGTAGATCGAGCCTTGGGATTTCTCAGATAAAAGTATATAAATGGCAAAGTTTTCTTGATATTATAGGTCTATTATAATATTCATACTATGTCAGTCTAGTTGGATTTGTTATAGGGAATGATAAATTGTGGCCTGATAATGAGTCAAAGTCATTGTGCCGAACATGTCGTTCATAAAATAAAATGAAATGTTCAGGGGTTATTGTTTATGTAACGATGCAGTCATGGGATACTCGATACGCTCAATACATATATTTAGGTCAACTGATCCACTATAATTTTAACAATAACTCGCTTGTAGCTCTCATAATGAATTTATACTTTTCGCAAGCTGTTATCTGTTATGTAATATTTTATAGGTTCTGATAAAATTGATTACATTATAGACGAAACGTTAGGTATAAAAATTAGGTAAAAAATTTGGTACAAAAAAAGACGTACGTCATTTAAGCGACGGAACAAAGATACAAGAAAAAAAAAAACGTATTATGTCAGACTAGTTTATCTCGAGTTACTGTTTACTACTCTGAGTAAAGTAGGCTATTTATTTAGTTAACATACATACCATTTCTGGAGAAGCAAAACAAATGATGTCATATTCATATATTGCTTAGTTTTACTAGTTGAGATGTATTTTCTCCTCATTGTTTAGATAATGAACAACTGCTAATGAAATTCTACTACATGTAGCCTTATTTAGGCCATACCTCACCCGAACATAGCGACAAACTAAAATCAAAGCATGCACAACATCGATGAAGTGCAATTACTAACTTCAACGCTTGAAGGCTATTGCAAGATACTGTCATCACGGAATCTGCATAATATCCAGTAGATGTGAAGAAAGCTTTAGCAAACTGGAAACCAGTTCTACAGATAGTCCAATCCTTTGATCCAATTCCAGTCTGATTGAGTTTTACCTCCGATAGCCGTTCGGCATCTTACATGAGGGCTGGCTTCCAGGGCTGGCGAAACAAAGGGTATCTATGCCCGTATTTAAATCGAAACCACAATGTGTCCCTAAAATTAGCAAACAAATACTTTACCCAATCAGCTAACACTAAGACACATTCAAAAGCTGAAAATTCATTAACAATGGAAGCTCTTGTGTTTGGTATATTTGCAGACGAAAGCGCACCTCGATGTCTTAGCAGACGCATTGCTGCGGTGGGCACGTGGTCGATACAATTAATCAAAGCGGCCGCGGCATCCAAAGATGTTACGAGTGACCGAAGGAAACGACCGAATAACGAAAACAAGCAGTAGCCACTTCTAAACGAGCTAGAAACTGCTTAGCTACTCTGTTTGTAAGAACAAATTTGTTCAAACAAAGAGAAAAAAAAACCAAACGAGTGAGACAAGGCGGTGAAAGCGGCTTTAGAGGAAGGTAGACAATAACAGTCGGATGTTAGACGAACGCAATATATGACAATCATACACAGCTACTCACGAGACACAAGTAAACTAATAAATGCTAGGTAAAATACAGGACTTCGCATTCAGGGACGGGACACAGACAAGTGAGAAAGCAGAACAGCGTAATGTGGAAGAACGAGCTAAGGTTATAATAACGGGACCTAGGATATGATGCGGAAGAGTGAACATGACAATCTAATGAGACAATCATCTTCATGATCTTCAATTCAATGTTCGGTAGATGAGGACGAACATAGAAGTGACTAATAATTATGATAACGTTAATGTATACGGGTATATTCTTGGGACCTCTCGGTAAAAAGGAGGCCCTAGGGCCCAAACGATTAAATATTCTGACTGCTAAGCAAAAAAAAGTGACGACAGAGTGATTGTGAAGGAGAGAAAGAATAATAATACTAACAATAATGCTACAGCATTAAAGCAAATGACGATCTACACACATACATAAAGTTATATATACATATATATATACATATATATATATATATATATACACACACACACCCACACACACACACACACATACACACACATTATAGTAAGCTGTTACGGTGTAACGATAACAATCGATGTATATAAATGATGCGACGGAAGCGGTATGACGGCGGAGTAAAGTCGACGCAGTGCCCGATTCGACCTGACGGCGATCTCGCCGTAAAGGAGGTGGTAGCTAATCCATGCATTATGAGAGAGACGACGAAAACTGACATTGAGCAATCCAGGGTGCTGAGAACTTTACCATACAGACGAAACTCCCACGTCCGATAGGCCAGAGTCAAACGCAGGCAGAGAGTTGAGGATTAAAATAGCTGCGCTGGATTTATACGACCCCTGGCAGCAACCGGAGTTGGTGGCAACCAACAACTTTGTAAATACCTTAAACAACAGAAAAACATACGAAACGGAAATGTATGCTCCTGATATGGACATAAGAGATAATGCCGCCAGATCGTGTGGCGAATTCGACCTAATGCGCCAAACAAGCAAGACAATCTGTCATGAGGCATCGCGGAAAAGGCTATTTCGTACGGCCAGGTGATTACTAATGGATAGCTAGGAACTCTACTGCTTATGTAAGAACCTGCTAAAAACGTAAGCAAAAATCTGACGCAGGTTAGACAGAAATCTACAGGGCATTAATGAATGCACTGAAGAAGCCTGATCGAAGGTCGCTTGTTAACAGTAGTAATTTACGGTGTCGAAGCTCGCGAGGTGGACAACTGAGATGCAAACGAACCTTCGGTGTCCCCTAAGGCACTAGAAGGACATAGATAGCCAATAGTCGAGACAAGTAACAATATATAATTGATTACAACAATACAATTGAGGGAAAAAGAGCAAGAATACTATTCCAATAATTGTAGCAATCATGAGGGAGACGATCGAAATAATGATCTTTACCTGCTTGTTTGATTGATAAATCGTGCGAATGATTAATTAACCATTCTATCGAGCAGATATATTAGTGAAACTAATCCTATTAATGAGACAATCACGCTTTTATTCCTCTTCTTGCTCAGCTCTATATATATATATATATATATACCTAAAGGCCAACGTGAACTATGATGAGGGTGTGTTGAGGACTATAAATGAATAATTAACAATTGCAATAAAGACAATAAGAAAAAAAATAGGCGATAGCAAATCAAACGTCCACTCTGTTTCATTGAACCTGTTTCAACTAGCAGAATAGTCCGAACTGTCCCTTCAGATCGATTTCCTGTTTCCAGCCTCGCCCGTGTAGGTAAAACTTAAGCTGATTGATATCTTTAACTTTAGCTCGACGTAAGTAATTAGCAGAGTTGACAGTACCTTTAATCAGAAAACAACGTACCGTTGTCGACAATCAAACGAGAACAACAGGTGGGCAATCGTAATATAAACTGATACTTATCTCAGAAAAAAACAAGAGACTGCATAACGGATACGTAGAGTCAACAGCCCGTCGAACTGATAAGTACTTAAGCGACAGTATTATAAACCAATACGAATTTCGCGATGGCAAATTTCAAAGCAAAGACAGCAGGTAAAGCTGTGAAGTAAGTGCAATGTCAGTCGTCTGCCGCGGGACGACCAGTATGACGACCATAGGGCAAAAAACAGAATAAATATCGATCGCAAGAAAAAGCAAAGACCGCCGAAGAAAAAGTTGGCGAGCGTTCCATGAGCTGGCACGAAAATCCTAATAATAATCCTACCACTGATATTATTACTGCTGCATCTGTTCGAGACGATGACAATCAGCTAAACTAGAATACCATATACATGGATTGATACATGATAATTATGAACATACTATAAATCCTAATTATAATAATGACAAACGACTAGTGATGATGCTCGTCTACGCAAAGACGGCAATCGATAAAGCAGATAAAGCGAAAGGTCGCCAACGTAGACTTTTCGCTTTATCTGCAACGTAGACGTCTCGTAGACTTGATAAAACGAGAACGTGTTTTATCAAGTATACGAGAAAAACGTCTTTAACCATAATCCTATCGTCGTCCTTTAGGCATCAACCACTACATGAATACGTATATATATATATATATATATATATATATACTACCAATCTTAAAAAAAATATATAGCTCTCTTTCTCTAGATATATATGTATATCAGCCTGTCAACGGTAGTGACCATAGTGACAACAATGGGCAGATGACAGGCCGCAGGATTTGGGATGACCTTTCTTATAATGGTTCTCTTTAGCTAACGAAGCGCCACATGCCGACTCATCGAAGAAACACGGATGACGTGTGTTTACACACTAATCTATGATCTGTACCTAGACAGCTGTACGGCGGCAGTACAGGAGATGAGTGTCGGTGTCGAAAAACAGCAGTTTTTATATATATATATATATATATATATATATAAAAGAGACTTCACTGGCTCGGTGAGGTAATAACAACAACTGTACCCTATTCGACAGAGCCAAGTCGTTCGCATTAACAGTAGACTAATAGGAAATATGTAAAAACTCACATTACAAACAGACACAAGACATCAGCTGCTGAAAATCTGATAGGTCGAAATAAAATAAAGGCTATTGTATTTATTAGGACGCTTTTTTACGAACGATACTGATTTGTTTCATTCATACGCAGTTGATTCAAGCCAGCCGCTGCCTATTAGTGATTATCTCAGAGGCCTGATGAGAAATTCGTTCTTGTAATAAATCACGGACCGATCAAATCGCCAACTCAAGCTGCTCCCTTCTGGAGTGTATGTTTTTATTACCGCATATTAACAGTTCGAGCTTTTTTTCGAAATGAATACGTCATTCATAGTCGTATAGTTAACAATGGATTGAAATTGGACATTGGATTTTACCCATTCAGACCGTCGCGCAGTATTGGTTGCTCCATCAATGATACATGACCTGAGCATCTAAGATGATATCTCATATCATTTCATATTAGCTAAGTAGAGGACCCGCTATACTCTTTCAACATCGCGAAGAAAATACAGGCTTTCATTTGTTGGTTGGCATCTTGGGGTTTGATATCTATATCATCTAATCCTCGTTCCCATATCAGCCATATTGCAACCTAAAATCGGTGACTTATTTCAAAATGTCTTTCCGTATCTTTGTTATGTATAAATACGACTACGTTTCTAGCAAGCAAAAAGTAGCGCAAGTGCTATAAAGGTCCTCGGTATTATGCCGTTCACAATAAACCAGCAACGAACATTATTAAGGAATAGTTTAGCCTAGTTAAGTGCAGAGTTTGCGCAACAAATTATAATTCCATTGCAGATAATGTTTGTGAAATGAAATACACCCGTTAAAAATTAATGTCTGAAGCATCGCCTTAAAAATACTTGAATCTCTAACGTGCTTCTGACGACGTGAAGCACGAAAAAAAAACAGTGACAATGATAATAAACGATAGGATACGTATTCGTATTTGCTTTAAGTGAAGACCCTCGATCGATGGAAAAAAAAACAGTAAAAAAACACAAACGCAATGTTTAGATAGAAAGCAATAAAGATGTCCACCGTTTGCATCAGAGCCCTTTAGTTTGCCAAGCCCTCCCTGCTTAACCTTCTTTCCTGGGGTTTTTCTGCCCCCATCAGATATCTCCGCAGTATCAGCCGCAGGCGCATGCTCTAATTAAGGAGCTTAGAGGAAAACGATTAAGCGAGGACTATTTTCTTTTTGTGTTGTGGAAGAAATATGCGGCAGCATACGCGCCGATATTCACCAGAGCTCCTCAATGTGTCAAATATGAAAGAATGGGGAAAAAACAATATGGAAAACAAAAAATAAAGATCCAGATAGTAACAATAACAACGGCAGTAGTAATGTTTGTTTAATATCCCCTGCACACAAATGCACCCATTCACTAGAACAAATGTTCACACGTATATCTACATACGCACATACAAACACAACCCGGCGTATTCAGCTCTAATTTACAGCTGTTTTACGCAACGATTAATTCCGTTTCCAGAACTCACGTCTTTCGCTTTGCCCACCGCCAAAAGTGCTCACCATTCCCGTTAGTCAAAAAATGTGTTGTTTTTTTTTTTTTTCCTTTCTTTTTTATTTTTATAAATGATCATTTAAAGCCCCGCTCAGTGTGTCTTCTCTCTGACTTCAGTGCATCACACGGCGCTGGATGTTACGTGATTGTACGCATGCTACGTTATGACAGTGAAGACGACCGCATGCATATAAACATATATAAAATTTATTTATATCTCTATACACGCACGGGTAGTTCGTACATATATAGTAGAAGGGAGAATATGGCTATAGAAGCATTAAACGGTTGTCGTTCGACGGTAGTTGGAGCTAATTTGCTGAAATGAAGGCGATGGCTTTTTACGGAGCGGTCAGCAAATAAAGTTTATGCTAACAACACCGTCACCTCCGTCAAGTAAAGATACGCGGCCACCCTTAGAATACGCATCTGAGAATGGCGGACTTGTTGTAATGTCGAATTGCCGATGGCTTTTTTTTTTTTCTCTATATTTGTGTGGCTAAATGTCGTGTAATAGGTATTGTCATGCCTCTGATTTTAGTTGAAGGCAGTATAACCAAACACATTTTCGGGCTGCTTTTATTTCAAGGATCACTGTTACCATCGCAAGTGAAATCGAACAGCAAAATGATAACAGCAACAACGACAACAACTATAGGCACAACAACGGAAACAACAAAGTTCCAGCAGTTGAAAAGCTGCGACAACTAGCGATAGAATACGAAGCGATTACCGTTGGCATCAAATATGACAGATCAAGTTGAAAAGTATGAAAGATCAGATAAACAGTAATGGATAACGTACCCATTAGCCAGAATCAAGGGCTAGCACGAGATACGAGCGAAATTCTCTGGCTTACAAGAAGGGATGAGCTGCTAACTGAACGTAAAAACC